GGGGGGGGGGGGTTAGCCAGTGCAGCGGCCTCCAAGGGGGCCGGCCCTGCTCCGAGATATATTGGATTGGTGTGGGGAAGGCGGCGGTTAGAGGCTGACCCTTTTGTCCGAAGCACACTGCCCGGAAGCTGCATGTGTGCCCCCCCCCTCCACCCTCCCTCCGTTTGCCGAACGGCGAGCACACGTGTCGCGGAAGGATAGACACGTGCGGGCGACTTGCACGACACTGCAAGCCATGCACTTGTTGCTGGAGAGAGAGAGAGAGAGAGAGAGAGAGAGAGAGAGAGAGAGAGAGAGAGAGAGAGAGAGAGAGAGACCTTCATTCGGTACCAACGGGCATCGAACAAAAGAAAGTCACTTTATGTAACGTTTCCACCGTCCCACCCGCGCAAAGAAGAACGATAATTTTAAAATAATCCAAAAACTTACAAGGCGTTCGAGGTGCGAGCCGACGAGAGATTTTGCATTTTTCTTCGGGTGGAGTGGAGAGGGGACGGGCTGTATAAGCAGATGAAAGGAGAGGCGAGAGGGGATGAAAGAGGTAATTGTTGTGGCAGGAAGCGGAGTGGGGTGGAGTGAGAAATGAAGGAATTGGGGTCGCAAGTCCGGATCGGAATCCGGCTTTGGGGAGGGGAGGGAGGAGGGGGGGGGGGGGGATGGCGAGGGATGGTCAAGCTGCCGAGTCACCGCAATGGCAGGGGATGTGCCATGGTCACCCTATGACGCGTAAAAACAGTTTGCGCTTCGCGCGCTCTCGCCCCAGGAGAGGGGGGGGGGGCGGAGGGCCAGTGCACCGCGATATTGGCAATTATTGCAACGCGTAACTGCCGGCCAGACCATCATGTACTGCGCAGGAAGCTCGAATAAGTCTCACTCAAGCCGATGTGCGGAGGGAGGGAGAGCGAAAAAAGACTAACAACCTGGAATCACAAAAAAAAAAGCAAAAGCAAATTTCTTTTTTTTTTTTTTTTAAGAAGAGAACGCCGTGGGGACCACGGAGCAGTGGCGCGACCACGAACGGCTGGAATATTTAGAAAAAGACACAAAGACAGGTGGACGAGATGAATGCTAACAGAATAAGGGTGAAGCGGGCGAGGGAGTCCTACTTGCTCATTAAGACGGCCAGTTCGGTAGCTCTTGGCTGCTGGCACAGCCCCCCTCACTCTCTCTCTCTCTCTCTCTCTCTCTCTCTCTCTCTCTCTCTCTCTCTCTCTCTCTCTCTCAAACACACACACACTCACACAGCTGACGGCCGCCTTCATCAACTTCTAACAATGAGAGCCAGCAGAGCAGACCAAAGCACACAGGAAGATCCGTCTGAAAAACTCCCTCCGCCGCAGCAGCCGCCGCAGCCGCCACCTCGTCTTCATCGCGCGGTGCGCGCAGCAATAGCCTGCGAGGTAGGCCCGCCCGCCGCACAGCCGCGTCGTCGCGATGCCTGCCGCCCGGGCGCCCCACCCAGCGACGCGTTTCGAGCTCCAGAGTCGCTAAGCGGGTCTCGAACCGAGCGTGTGACCCCACCAATGGATTCCTCCTGCGGAGAGCAATCCATTGGTGGGGTCACACTTTCGGTTCGAGTCCAATTCAGTGACTCTGGAGCTCAAAACGCGTCCGGGGTTTTGGCCGCCTGTCTTCTGGCCCACTGTGGGCCGGACCTTGAATGCAGCGTCCCATTGACGCGCTGCAGTTGGGCTACTCTGGTGGGGGGCGCTGACCCCGTTCGAGTTAGCATATTCGATCCACTCACTCTGATTGCGTGTTTGTCCCTCGATCGCAGCGGCCAATGCGGCGAATTCGACGGCCACACTGCAAGGGGGTGGGGACCGGAAACCGGAAACCGGTCCCGCGGCAGAAGAGCAAACTCTTTTTTGAGCTCCGGTGTCGCGAAATGGGACTCGAACCGAACGAGTGACCCCACCAATGGATTGCTCTCCGAACGAGGAATCCATTGGTGGGGTCACACGTGCGGTTCGATTCCTGTTAGGCGACTCTGGAGCTCAAAACTCGCCTCAGTTTTGGCCGCCTGCACTGGTCTTCTGGCCCACTGTGCCACCTGCACGTCCCCTGTTCACCACACTGTCAACCGCCATTCTTCGGGTGTCGCTGGTCCCGACATTGCATACATCGGCGCGAATTTTCCGATCGTGATTGACGTGAGGGCCCGCGAATGAGAGACATGCACGGAGACCGGAAAGGGGGTGGGGGGGGGGAGGGGGGCACTGATAAAGCGATACAACGGGAACTGCATGCGCAATGAGCGAACGAGAGCGTACTGTCAGCGCGAGCAATGGCGAGGGGGAGGGGGGGGGTGTTACGTGCCCGGCTATTTATCACTGATGTCGTCGCCCGGCTCCGCAGTCTTGACTTCCTTCATTTTCTCCCCTCGACGTTCGCCAGGCGTGCCATTCAATCTCAGCAGGATTTGCTTTATTATTTCAACAAACAAAAACAACAAGCGAACAGAAAAATGACCCCAAATAAAACGAGGAGGAAAATGCGCCGCGCGCTGTGAAGGACTCGAGGACGCGTAGCGCCGCATCGCACAGTGGGCCAGAAGACCGGCGCAGGCGGCGAAGACTCTAGACGCGTTTTGAGCCCTACAGTCGCTAAACGGGACTCGAACCGAACGTGTGACCCCACCAATGGATTCCTCGTTCGGAGAGCAATCCATTGGTGGGGTCACACTTTCGGTTCGAGCCAGGACTCGGGCTCAAAACGCGCTAGATTTGGCCGCCGCCGGCTTCGGCCCATGGTGCACGGCCGTGGGATCTGAAGAGCTTGCCTCCAGTCGATGGAAACTGGGAAAGCGCGCACCCGTTTCTAAGGGCTTACCGTGAGGGGACGATCGGATGCACACAACCGCGGGCTGTATGTGGTGGAACAGACAACATTGACGAGACAGAAACAGACAGGAAGAGACAGACACAGCCGAAAAGAAACTGCACGAGTCTGGCTCTGCCGATAGACAAACAGGCCGACTTCGGGCGCCCCGGTTTGAGACCCGCACCGACGCAAGCGGTACGTTTAGGCCGAAGTAAACCGGTTAGGTTCCGTTCCAGTCAGACCAATTCGCCGGTTCAATATTTGGACAGCGTCGGTCGGTCGGTCGCGGGCCGCCTCTGAACGCAATAAAATGAAAATAAAAGTTCCGTCAACACGCTGCTGTTGTTGTTGTTGGTAGGTTGTTGGAGAAACATTTCATCTGGGAAAATGGGTGAACGAAGTTAAAAAAATTTTGTGCCCGCAGTGTATGAGCGCACCCCCCCTTTTCAGCCGCGAGGCGACGGCCCCTTCTAGATTACGTGCGATTTCGGATTACTTTCACTTCGCCACGTGAAATCGGATGACGAGAGCGGAAAAGAAAAGGGAAAAAAATTGAGAAAGAGGAAAAAAAGTGACTGGTCTAATTAATTAGGGCCAGTAAAAGGGCCGGCCAGGCCGATCCGTGGTGCGGATGCCGTGCCGAGAAATGGGCCAGTTTTACTCCGGAGCTCGCGAGCCCCCCCCCCCCCCCCCCGCAAAAAAAAACAAAAAAAAACACACACACACGCACAAGCTGGTGGGAAATCCAAAAGTAAACAAACAGAGAAGTTTTTATTATTATTATTATTAATATTATTATTTACAGGGATCTGCAAAAAAAAGTTCTTGGCCTAGACTGGCCTTTGCGCGACTGTGCAAAGTCACGGCCAGGCAAAGCACCTTCAACAGCAAGGGGAGAGAGAGAGAGAGAGAGAGAGAGAGAGAGAGAGAGAGGAGCGGAGAGAGAGAGAGAGAGAGAGAGAGAGAGAGCCCAGCTTAAAATTCCACCTGGAATTTCCTCTGGATTTCTTGTTTCCATCTGGATTGCTCATATCCATATGGGATTTATATTTTCCAGCTGGAAAGGGTCATTTCCATACCAGGCTGCTGTCTGAAATAAGGGTCCAGATGGAAATTTTTTCCATAAGGGTTTGAGTTACCCAGAATGGAAATTGTATTCCACTGTGGAAAGTCTGATTTCCATAGCGAGATTTCCACAATGGATTTTACTAGAAATCCAGGATGGATTTTTCATTTCCAGACTGGATTTTGTAAGCTTTTGTCCGCTAGGTGGCGCTAGTGTCGCTTTTTTTGTCCTGAAGTAGATAAAAGGCTCTCCTAGCTCAAAGAAAGTGCCCTCATACTTCCGAATAGGTGGATTCTGAACGGTATCCATGAGAGTTATGAATCCTTATGTGAGTGATGTATGTATCAGTATTACAGGCTGAGAATTTTATAATCTAAGTTATCTCTCGCTTGTGACCAAGGCTCCCAATTTCCTTAGTCGAGGAAGTTTAATTCCAGGGGACATGTGACAAATCCAGTACCATCTGGCACATCAATCAATTTTTGAGGCAGTGGCACCTGCACCTCTTTGGTGTCTGTACCATTGCCGAGCTGGCTTTAGCTTATCTACTTGATAAGCTTGCTCTAAATACTCAACTAATTCCTGCTTGAATCAGTATGAATACGTGAAAAGAATCCATATTTTGAGAAATTGGGGGAACACAGGGGGCACGCTCCATTCTAAAGTCACTGCGATTAGCAGTGTTAAAGTATGCCTCTTTTTTACAAATAAACGAGTACAGTATTTTGGAGTGATTTCCATTTCCACAGATGTGTAAATCCATACTGGAAATCGGAAACCCACAATGGAATTCATGAAATTCCAGATGGGAAAACGTTCCAAATACCAGCTGGATTTCAGATCCCTCTGGATTCTACTTTCCACAATGGAAATAAATCCAGACCAATTTCCAGGTGGAATTTTAAGCTGGGGAGAGAGCGCTACTTAGCGGAACCGGAAATTGGCTTTAACGGAGACTGATTTGTCCCGGAAACGGGGCGCCAGGTAGGCCGTGGGCCGGAAGCGACCGGAAGACGGGCAACACAGCGCCGCCTTGCGCCCATTCGACCGCCGAGTTGTCTTTTCAACGACTGGGCTGGGGCGCCGGGAATGTCAACATCCAAACAGGTACCTGGAAAAGTTTGAAGTGTGGCGTCCCTGTCGATCGCTGGTGGAAGCACACCTGAAACAAACGAAGGAATGCGTTAGTAGAGTCCGAACCGATCCATAATTTCCTTCAGTGCTGCAATTTAGAAATTATTTTATTTCGCAGGGATTGCAGTTTTGTGGGGACTTTTCGAACTTGGCCAGTTAATTCTGAATTTTCAGAAATGATAAACGCCCAGAGTGGTGGTGTTTAAATTTTTCGGTATTTTTTTCGTTTTTTTTTCTCCTTTTGTCGAGCTTTGACGCTGGTGATTTGCAATCGTCCGCCCAGTGCCGCACTGCTGTCCATATTGCAGGCTGTAATCGAGTTGAGCCCTAATCCCGTTGATGACGCGCTGACAGGCGAATCGCAGTGTCATGGTGTCCATGGCGTCCGCGGTGTCCGTCCACGGCCCGCCTTTGTCCACCAATGGAATTTACTCACTCGCACTTGTCCCGCGAATAGACTGTACTCTCTCCCACGCTGTCACCATCCGTCCGCCCGTGACAGCGGATCAAACACGCCGCAGCCGCGGGGCGGGCACTGGCACACGCTTGGAACCTTGCGAAGTGTTTTGAGCATAATTCACTTTGTTAGACGAAGAGATAGTTCGTTAAATACGAAGTATTTTCTTTGCAAGCTTATGTATGCTCAGAATAGTACTTTGTAATGACAAGCTGCTTTTCTTTGTAAGGCCTGCAATAGTTTGTAAGGTTTTCTCAGTGCACGAGCCGATTTCACCTGTACTCACAAAAAAAAACAACCTCCAATTTTTGTTAATGTTGTTGTTGCTTTTTTAGCGTTTGACCTCGAGTGTGATGCCTTTTTTCATCGCCGCACTCTACACCTGCAGCCGCATAGTGGCTGCTTCCCCGAAGTCCATACTCGGATACTTGTTATCTCATCATACCCCCACACCGTAAACAAAACCCCCGGCCCGGAACACGCTGCTTTGTTCTAGATCTGTGCTAACTACCACCCCGCCCCGCCCCGCCCTGCACTTGACTGTGCTGGCCCAGCAGCCGATTACTTCCGTAGACGGGCATAATTGAATCGGTTCAAAACAGGAGAGGGGAGGGACAGAGAAAGAAGTAGGGCGCCGTTGCTCCTAAGGTGCCGGGAAGGCAGAGAGAGAGAGAGAGAGAGAGAGAGAGAGAGAGAGAGAGAGAGAGAGAGCTGCAAGAAGCAGGGGAGGAATCGCGAAGGGGCTGAAAAATGGTGCGGGGTCGTTGAACGAGGACGCGAGCAACAAGAGAGTCGTGCCTGTCTGTCTGTCTGTCTGTCTGTCTGTCTGTCTGTCTGTCTGTCTGTCTGTCTGTCTGCCCGTCCGTCTGTCCGCCCGTCTGCGCTGCGCTTAGCAGGGTCTCGAAGAGAATGTCCTTCCCGGCGACATTACCCCTCAGACCGATTCCACGGCCACCCTCGAAAGCGGGCACAAGCCCACTTGACGCAAAAGAAAGCCGAGTCGGGGAGGAAGAAACGCAATAATGGCGGCAATTTCAAAGGCCGACATGCCTGGGCAGTGCTTGGCTAGTGCCTGGCCAGTGCCTGGCTCCACGTGTGCGCGTCGACCAATGGCGTGGAAGCGTTGGGGCCCTGACGTGTGTGTCAGCCAATCGTCGCTGCGCATGTGAAACTCGCAAGACCGTTGTTCTGTCGCACGCAAATGATAATTATTATTTTCAAAAGTCCACTTAGAACGGAAAATCACTATTTGTTTGTGTGAACGGGTGTGGGTGTGGACTCCAGCCAGCCTCCAGCCAGCCTCCAGCCAGCCTCCAGCCAGCCTCCAGCCCTCGTAAAACCAAACGAATTAAAACTTGCAAATTGTTATTAGTTTTTTAGTAAATTTTGCTTAATTTTAAAAATTGAGTTTAATTTGACTAAATTTAAGTATTTTTAGTTAATTTTCATTTGCAAAACTAGAATTTGTTAATCTTTGTAAGCTGCTTTTAAATTTTTAAAATTTTAAATTTTTAAAATTAAAAAAAATTACTAAAAAACTAATAAAAAATTTACAAGTTTTAATTTGTTCGTTTTACGAGGGAGCCAGCCTCCAGCCAGCCTCCAGCCAGCCTCCAGCCAGCCTCCAGCCAGGGTCACGGTGGCTCCATTCCACCGGTAGGCCCACTGACGCGGAAAACCAACAGGGGAAAAAATCTGTCGTTGCATGACTGTCCCGGAGGGTGGCTCTGCACCGCTCCGCTCGGCTCGGCTCGGCGCGCAGGGAGCGCAGCCCTGGGCCCTGGGGCCCGGGGCCTGGGGCCCGGCGTGAGGTGGTGGTCCGGAAGGTGGAGGGTGAGGCTGTTATTGTGGGGCATCGCCAGCATCGGCCATAACTACGCGGCAGTGCCGGCAGTGCGGCCCGGATTAACTGATAAAAAGACCCTCCGATATTGCAGCCCCGGCTAAGCCAGTTACACGCAGAGGAGCCCCTTCACATTCCCTGCCCGGCCCTCCCGCCGAATTCCTCCCAAGCAAAAGTTGATTTTATTTGATTTTTTTTGGCTCGGATTTTCCGGCGATCGCGGCGCATTTTCTACAAACTAATGCGGAGCCGCCTTCAAGCGGCGCGGCTCAATCGGAAGGCTTCCGAAAACATGGAGTTGCAGGTCGGCGGTTTTCCCAACGGTGCACAGTGGGCCAGAAGACCGGTAGAGGCGGTCAAAACCCCGGACGTGTTGAGCTCCAGAGTCGCTAAATGGCACTCGATTCAAACGTGTGACCCCACCAATGGATTGCTCTCCGAACGAGGAATCCATTGGTGGGGTCACACGTTCAGTTCGAGTCCTGTTTAGCGACTCTGGAGCTCAAAACGCGTCCAGAGTTTTGGCCGCCGGCGCCGGTCTTCTGGCCCACTGTGCTGCCGGTGCGCTCCCTGGACGTCCCCGGGACTGGAACCAGCCCGCCTACAATTCCATCAAAACGATAACAATCCCTCCACCCTCAACTAGATTGCACGGTGATTCCCATTTTGCTAGTTTCATTAATTTCTGCCGGCGCCTGGGGCTGGGCCGCCCTGTGTACTGCGGAGTCGTTTCATCGCTCTGTCTCTCCCACACCTTCAGGGGATTCCCCACGAGTGCGAGAGAGACAGAGCGATATGGAATGAGTCTGCTGAACAAGAAATATCGCGGCTTAGGCACCCCTTACCCGACACGAGTTCGAGGTTCGGCCAACAACGTTGCAAATAATAAATGGCAGCCTTCAAGGCGGCCCCAAATTTCTTAATGGCCCCTTAGAATCAATAACTTTCTATCAAATTCGCACCGCGCTCTCAGAGGCTGAAAATTCCGTCTCCAGAGAGAGAGAGAGAGAGAGAGAGAGAGAGAGAGAGAGAGAGAGAGAGAGAGAGAGAGAGAGAGAGAGAGAGAGAGAGAGAGAGAGAGAGAGAGTGAGAGAGAGAGAGAGAGAGAGGACCCGCTTCGCATCCCACGCGCGACTTTGCCACTTTCCGCTTGAATCAACTCTTAACTACAGAGAAGTGTGGTCACTGCTCGCTTTTTTTTAGACCCGCCGTTTTTTCCAAGCCGGTCCGTGGCGGTCAAGCGAGAGCAGGCGGTCAAAGGGAAGGGAGCACATTCCTCAAATTGGCCACAATTAGCGTCTTATTATTCCCTTCTCCGAATTCGAGTTGGCAACTAGGCGACGGCCAGCCCGCCAGACTGGACCTCGTGGGGCGGGGCGGGGTGTCTCGCGCCCAATACGAACAAGAAAGGACGCTAACTCGGCCGGATCCATCCTGCCCCAGTGCCGAGGTTGGTACCCACACTACCAACCAGAGAAACGTTGAAAGCTCAACCAAATTCAAGCCCAAAATGGATGTCGCTAACATAGAAAATAAAACAAACAACCAGAAAAAAATTTAAAATGAAAGAAAATGAGTAGGGAATGAAACGAAGACGGAAGTTCGTAGTTCGAACTTTAAGAAAATAAATCCACCAAACGGTGCGTGTTTTTGTTGTTGTTGTTGTGTTTCTTTTGTCGCTTTCCAGGATGCTGTAGACGCGACCGATGGCGTGGCGGCCATTACATATTCAAGGGCCATTCTTCAGCATTTGTTCGTACACTGTAACAAGGGTGCGGAAATTGGAACTGGCTAATGGCGTCGAGACGAACGCTACAGATCGAGTCTGGGCCGGGGCCTCGGCCGGGGCCGTCCTCTCCAGTGCTGTGTACCGCTGAGTGAATTTCGCCACCGTTTCGCGAGAGAGGTCCCCCATCGCCGTCGCTCTCTCTCTCTCTCTCTCCCCTTTCCCAGTTTGTTCTCGATCTCCTTTTCCTCCTTGTGCCCCTGCCCGTATTACTCGGCCAGCAAGCGAATGATGGATAACCGGTTTCTTCCGCGTGGGGTCACAGCGTGTATCATAAATTTATGCACACGATTTCTTTTCGAGCGGCCGCTCTGGCCTGCCCGCTCTGCCCGGCCGCTCTGCCCGGCCCGCTCTGCCGCCCTGTTGCCACTCGTATCAAAACCCCTCATGCACATGGACGCCCTCATTCATTTAGCAGTGCCACAAAAATACATGAGAGGGAAACAAAAAGAATGCCGGAGCGACGAAAAAAATTTGGGGTCCCGACCGGTACTTGAACCCGCGACCTGGGATCTCGGCGCGCAAAGTACGGAGCGCGACCTTTCCGCCTGCACTCGCCAGTCATGGTCCTAGACGTGATGGCGTTTTGAGAGCAAGTCGCGCCGCTCGTCTGCCCCGCCCCCTTTCTCCCGGCGGCCTCTCTCTCTCTCTCTCTCTCTCTCTCTCTCTCTCTCTCTCTCTCTCTCTCTCTCTCTCTCTCTCTCTCTCTCTCTCTCTCTCTCTCTCTCTCTCTCTCTCTCTGCACCCCGTCCTGCTCCTGACACACGCCGGACCGGCGGGCACTCCCGCCGTCCATTTGGGGCCGCCAACAGGTACGACAAAATTGAGCGGCAAAATTTCGCGCCAAAAAAAGTGGCGGGAAAACACGAGTCCGCGCCACGCCACTGCGAACCAGTTTCAGGAGATTCCGCTGAGGTTATTTCACAGTGGGGGCAACACTCT